GTTGTAAGGCTGCGCTTGTTCCACCGCTGCGGATCGGGGCGCTTTTCTGTAGAATTTCGTCAAACATCTCGGAAAGTGAGGGAGTGTACGCCTCGGGGCGGGGCGGGGCATTTTCGGCGTGTTTTTTTTATTTCGGCCCGAAATAAAAATGGCCTTTTCGGCCGAAAATTTTCGGTGGCCGAAATTTCGGTGCACCCCTACAAGAAATATGCAAGAATAAGATTTATTCGAGAAGGCATTAAGGAAACACTCTGTTTTATCTATGTAGAGATACTGCTTGCAGCCAATGATGCATGAAATTTTGTATAATATGATGTCATGGGGTAGGACTGGATAAGTCTGACTTCTTCCTACTCCATTCAAACATGTAATAGGTGTAAGCAACTGATTTTGGATTAGCATTGGTTGGATATGTGTAATTATGTGTTGTCATTTGTTCATTTGTTCTGTTCTGCATGTTTGAAAGAATAAATCAATCAATCAATCAATGATTCTGCCGGGTTCGCATTAGGGGGGAGATGCCTTGCACCAAACCAAGCGCTCCCTTTAACCAATCGTAGGTAAGCGTTACATCACGTGATGAGCTGTAGAGAGGAAGAGGAGACTGATTAAAAAAAACAATAACCAAATCCAACCTGTTTGACACGGTGACAGATATTTTGTGCCTGTTATTTTTTCCGCTGCCTGCCCTATACACTTACTGCAGAATACTATTTGAGACAGAAATAAATTACTTTGCGGTAATTAGTTAACGCAGCTCAGTGAGGAAAGGTGAGATCTTAGTTTGATGCAAGGTATCTCACTGCTAATGCAAACACGGCAGAATCATTGTCATGCAAGACTGGGTTTGCACAGGGATCTAGATCACGCTCACAAAACGATTTATCGTGCAGATCCCTATGTTGGTACATTGAAAACATCCAGTACCATTTGTAAAAACTACTAAGTCCATCAAACCATATCCTTCCATACCGCTTAGTCCCAAACGGGGTCACGGGGAGCTGGAGCCAATCCCAGCTGGCTGCGGGCGAGAGGCGGGGTACAGCCTGGACAGGTCGCCAGTCAAACCATATCTTCTTACTTTATTAAAAACCATAGTAACGTTATTCTCATATTTAGACACTCATTTCACCTTTAAGTGATATGTTTAATATAAGAAAAGCCTAGCGCAGTAAGGGACGGTTCATCAAAAATTTTACTGAGTTCAGTGATGTCATTCTGCTGCACTAACTTGTCAGGACAGGCAACAGCTTCCGAACTCATTTTCCTGTTTGTCTGTTCAGGCAGGTACTCCTTGGCTTTGAAGGGCAAAGTAGGCTCATCAGTTGGGTTAAAAAAAAAGTATATATATGTATGAATCAGAGTTAAGACGGGGTTTACGGAGCACAATGCACTATATTTATTACATCCAGGGTCTATATGCAAAGGGGCATGAAGTACCTTTTGCATGTGACCGGGCCAATATACTGGCCTATGTAACTCAGACACTAAGAAGTTTTAGTAGATCTCAGTCCTGAAGAATACTGCCCCTCCTTTTTCAAGGTCAAGTTCATACAGATTCAACAAGTACTGGGTTACCACACTCTCAGATAAGTCTACAAAACACAGAGACAGTTTTATCCACAAGAATGAGGATTTATTTGAGTCAGTGAACAAGTTAATAACAGTGAAGTAATGTTTAAAAAGGCCTAACACCAGAAGCTAAAATACTACCCTTGAAAAGCTACTCATCCACCTAATAAATATAGTGCAGAACAAGAATAACAATGGTCGAAAACAGGTTGGAAAAGACCCATTAAATAAACACCACAACAATCAAAACAAAACGCACAAAACCATAACCAAACATGAGGATCTTGCCTCCCTGTACATCAAACCATTTACAAACTGCTCATGCACCATAAATTAACCAAAACCGAACTTGGGGAACAATACAATAAATAGGGGATGTAAAACTAAGTAGGCTTCTTGACATAAAAACAGGCAAGGCAAAGCAGCAGTGGCTGTTACTCCTACAAAGAGTAAAACAACTATTAATAAATAGCATAAAAAGATTCAAAACAATTAAAACCCAAACTCCTGACGATTACCTTGGTTGCGTCTTACACCTTGGCACAACATGTGTGACAGACACCAGCTCCTGCAGGATCACACTTATATCACTTACCACCCATGGAGAAGCATGCAATAATCCTCTGAACAATCTACAAATATATCACTAAATAAGCATTTTACTCCGCAACAAATCTAACATGCACTCAAATCGCTAGACAGAGGAAAGTAGGACACAGATCAATGGAGACAGATTGAACTTCGCTTTAGGAACAGTCACTGCAACAGCCAGCACTGTAATTGCTTGTAGCAGCAGCTTCTCCAGGGCTGGTATTTATATACGTGATCAACAGGACTGCTCACCTGGTGGTATACAGTGGGTACGGAAAGTATTCAGACCCCCTTAAATTTTTCCACTCTGTTATATTGCAGCCATATGCTAAAATCATTTAAGTTCATTGTTTTCCTCATTAATGTACACACAGCACCCCATATTGACAGAAAAACACAGAATTTTTGACATTTTTACAGATTTATTCAAAAAGAAAAACTGAAATATCACATGGTCATAAGTATTCAGACCCTTTGCTCAGTATTTAGTAGAAGCACCTTTTGAGCTAATACAGCCATGAGTCTTTTTGGGAATGATGCAACAAGTTTTTCACACCTGCATTTGGGGATCCTCTGCCATTCCTCCTTGCAGATCCTCTCCAGTTCTGTAAGGTTGGATGGTAAACGTTGGTGGACAGCCATTTTCAGGTCTCTCCAGAGATGCTCAATGGGGTTTAAGTCAGGGCTCTGGCTGGGCCATTCAAGAACAGTCACGAAGTTGTTGTGAAGC